ATAAATGTTGTATTTCACATCACAGCATGCATTCTTGGCTTGTTTCTCTTTCGTAGAGAGTTACTACTCTCATTAGTTTCGACTTCTGAGGGTTGTCGTTCGTAGGGGTGCGACAGCTGGTTAATGGAAAAACAGATTTCATTAAACAGATTACAATGCATCAGGCTACATTCCAGTTCGTTTGTCCACTGAAAACGTCCGGTGTAATCATGGTCGTCATCCTTAGGCATCGGATTGAGCTTCATCACTTTGCCTCTCATCCTCCGAACAAATTGGATGTGGGGGTCCCTGTCTCGTGTTCCAGGAATCGAGTATTGAATCTACTGGTGGTTAGCTCTGTAGACTCTCGACCGGCATCGAACGAAGATTAGAATTCTTTCTCCGGGGTGCAACTGTGCTGCCGGTTCGGTTTTTGCACCAATTGCTCGGGTAAGTATTGGTAGATATCCATTTCTGCTTATGCTTTATTATTACTTTCCTAAGGTTGATCTGGTCGAGTCCTGAGTCTACTGGTGTAGACCTTTGACTGGCATCGAAGGGAGATTAAAATTTTTCCTCCAGGGGGCACTTGTGCTGCCGGTCCGGTTTTGCACCTGTTGTTCGTGTAAGTATTCTCTCAACTCACCAAAGGCCTCAGATGTAAGATGGCCACTCCTGCTCATTCATTATCATTATTTTACGGAGGTCGAACCATGCTCCCGAAGAATCGATACATTCGAGAGAACTCCCCAATATCATCAACCAATAACCACTCCCCACACCGTGGGAGGCCCTGTCTGACATATACGAAGTCTTGGTGATATCAGGCGAACACTAACTGCACCTTTGAATAATTTATCAATTCAAATGAAGAGAATTCCTCATCAAAGAGTATGTTCCATCAAGAATGTACCGGAAAGCTTTAAAAGAGAAATGTTTATTTGCAAAAATCTATCCACGTCAAGTTCGTTTGTAATAGAGACAAGTTTTGACTTGAAAAAAATTACAAAAGAGTGATATCATCTTTCATTTCCTGAATAGCAATGCGATACACTTCGTTTTCATTTATTCTTACAGACAAATTCAATGGCCAAGTCGAATGATTGAGAAAGCCACCCAATTCAACCTTTTTGCCTATCAAGGTCCAAACTCTGGAAGTTTTCAAAAAAAAAATCACCTGCATAGAACGGAGGGATGCGATTGAGTGGCCTCCTCAGTCATACGACTTCATTTAGATGTTTTTGTAAGGACACATAAAAAGCGAAGTATATTGTATTCCAGTTATTGGGAGACCTGTGAGGACGAATGAATAATGTATGGACATGAGCTCCAAAATGGATACAAACGGTTGGAAGATTACTGTATGAAGGTTGGTGAACATTGAATCTTTTTGCATTTTTTCTTATAATGTATTGTTGGTATTTCAAAGCTTCATATAACTTAAACGAGTTAACCAGTTTTTGCGAATGGAGTAACTATAGATAGGGGATTGATGAAGTTCCAACTCAACCCCCATCTTATTTGAGAAAGTTGTAAGTTGACATTACTACTTATAGGGTTTTAGATTTTGTACGCTTATAAATGAACCCAACGTGGTTTTGAATCCTTGCGAAAAGTGATTTCTCACTTCCTTCCGTTTCCTTACGGTACATATTCGATGGGCCACCCTGTATATTTATCATCATTGTAACTGTATATTAATGATTTTCTATGACATGGTGAATGAGTGATTTGAGGATTCAGCTCCACGACGTATCCAACCAACTCAATTGTTAAATAACAAACAACCAACCTATTATATTTCCAGCTTTCAGTTACAGCAACCGACCAAGTCTCAAACCACATACTCAAGAAAAAAAAGTACCTCTTCAGAATTCATTCTACAGGTACCCTGTGATCCTGAGGGGATCTGCATGAGTGTAACATGACATATTACAGGAGCAAGTATGCATTTCTTTAATGTCCCCCCTTTTATTTTTTTAACAGGTCAACTCAAAAAATTGAAATTTGAGATAATGAAATCAATGCATGAATACTTTATTTTGAAGTGAATTCGACAGATGAAAATTTCAAGTTGGCAACTGGGCGCCATCTAAGAAAAAAAATTAAATAAAGAGGGGGGTCTTGTGACACATCATTTTGAAGCTCCTGACGAATACTTGATCTCCCTAAAATATGAAGTCAATACTACTACAACACTACAAAATGGCGGAACACTCAATAATTTCCTGAAGACAAACACATTAATATCAATATTTCTAGAAATATTCCTTTTTATCTGCCATATGGCAGATGGCAACCCGATAAGGTTTGTTAAGTTATTTTTTGTTTATGAAAACGACAAAAAATATCAGTATGACAATGAACATCATTGTTCAGTTAGAATATTCTCATTTAGTTTTCGGTTTTACTAGTAGAAAGGTACCACGTCAACAATCTCTAAAATGGTCAAATCTCTTCCATTGGAAGGAAAAATTGAAGCGATTTTCATTTACGATGCGACGCGTAACTTTCACGAGAATGAGGGAACTTGTATCCAAATTCACAACTACCGGTAGTGTACATAACAAAAAGCCTCCAGGTGATCCGTCCATTCCGGAAGAACAGCAAGTGCAAATAATTGGTGAGATGGTAGTAAACCCTGAACAATCTACTTATTCCGTCGCGAATGTTTGTGAGGTGTCTCCTTCTACTGTGTGGAGACTTTTGAAGGGCAATAGGTATCATTCATACAAAATTGAAATGGTACACCAATTAACTGAAGATGACCCTGATCGAAGAACATAATTCTGCAAAATCATAGTCAAATCATAGTGACGAATGTACATTTTTTTCAAACGGCAATGTTCACAGATAAAATTGCCGTTTGAACCATATTGTAGGATCTCTATCTATTGATCAAAATTTAACACGAAAACTGTATTTGAATATGGTGGAAACTACTGTTAACCCTATCATCACTGAAAACGTCGAAGCGAATCCTAATGAATTCGATGTGGATATTGTATTTCAACTAGATGAAGCACCACCACATTACTCCAGACAAGTAAGAAACTATTTGGATACTACTTTTTCCGGTCGTTGGATTGGCCGTCGACGTCCTACAGAATAGCCAGCCTGCTCGCCAGATTTGACACCTTTTGACTTTTTTTAGACTGAAGCAAAAGGTGTATAAAATTGAACCTGTTTCAATATTGGATATACGGCAGAAAATAATAAATATTCGTAGATAGGCTGTTCATATGTTAAGAAATTCAAGGCAACCATTTCGAGCATCTTCTAAACTGACCTCAAGCTCATTACCTCATATTATGTAGCTAAATGTCAATGTATTCAGGCAGTTATTAAAAGTTCCGCCATTTTGTAGTAGTTGAAGATATTGACTGTATTCAACTGTATTCTAGAGTTGTGAAGCATTTGTCAGAAGCTTCACAAGAAGGGGTCAGGGGGTCACAAGACCCCCATTTCCATTAAATTTTTTTTCTAGATTGCGCCCAGTCGCCATCTAGAAAGTTTCATTTGTCAATTTCACCTCAAAATAAATAAGTACAAAGTAAAGCGAATTGATCTCATTATACCGAATTTCAATTTTTTTGAGTTGACGTGTTTAAAAAATAAAGGGTGGGGGCATTAAAGAAAAGCACTGTATACTTATAAGTTCAAATTGAAATGGTATATTCTTAGAAGAAAATCAATTTTTGGGAAAGAAAAGTTTTGACTCTTTACTTTTCTATGCTGATACAAAAAATATGAAATATTCCAAAGAAAAGAAGGAAGCAATCAATTTCAAAAATTAACTCTATACAAAGATGTGTAGATCATGCAAAGAAGTAACTTCCAGTCACAAACTCGAAGTAAAAGCCCTCTCAAAACAGCCATTTTTATATTAACATTGAATTACACGAAAAAAAAAATAAATTCGAAACAAATAATTTCATATATGAACGCTGAGTTATACGAATACCACTTCTATCTATCCCGTTTCTATTCCAAACATTCGTAAGGGAATAGAATCAGATATTATTCACAGGATTCCTATACAATATAATCGATGAAAAAATTGAAATTCTACTTCACGTGGAACACTGCCATCCTCACTGGCAGACATCCGATGTTTCGCCGTAAGACACTTTTTTGTATCAGAGAAGTAGAAAGCCAAAACCTTTATAAATATTTATTGATATTGTTAAAAATCAGACAACCTTTGTGATAAATATATCATATGAAGATTAGTTTTTCAATCACATCTACGTATAGATTTTAAAAAATTATGGACGTTATAGTTGTCAGTTCACAATTAGATTAAATTTTCATGCTCTTTGGAATCATAACTCTTGAATCTCTAGGAAGTTAACGCTCTATCCAAACCCTTGCTCAACAACTAAAACCATCATAAATCAGCAATATAGTCTAGATAACTCCACACCGCTCTCACTAACTAATCTCACTGGTAATCAAACCAATCAAATCGTTAAGGTAAGTTATACTGTTGATCACAATCGGGTTACGTGAAACTTTCGATGCCAACTTATCTATATCAAACTTCAAAAATATTTTCAGAGTAACTATTGACACAAAACGGTTATTAACGCTTTATTATTTTCAATGAAGTGGTAAAAAAGTGTCAGAAATGTAATAAGACATTACCAACGAAAAATTAACATCAGACAACAGTTGTTATTGAAAAATGTATATTATTTATTATTACAACTGCTATAATCACCTGAAATCTGTCAGAGATGCTGGATCTGTGCACGATATGAAAATTGAATGGAAATCAACTGTACAACAACAATGCCTCGATTCTCTTTTACAGTACCGTTCAGAAATAGTATATTATGCAACGATCATGTAATGATGGTTATTAAGACACGAGCATTAATCGGGATACGAAATGAGCCGAAGGCGAGTTTTGTATGGTATATGCGAGTGTATTAATAACCATTACATGAGAGTTGCATACGCTATTTTTTCTAAACCCGATAAATTATGAAAAACTATAAATACTATATTTGTATTGAACACATTTACAGTAATTAACTCATATTTTTTTAAAAAAACACAAATATCGTTATGAAAAATCTGTATCATAATGGATATCATTATGAAACGGATTATGGTCATATAAGTGTATTGTTAGAGTACGGGTGTAGAAAAAATACATTATCTGCAATACTTACTTCAAAACCATATTCTTTGGCTATCATTTCACTCCTGGAAAATAGTTCTTTCGCCAATCCTCTACCCCTATACTTGTCATCGACTGAAAGTATTCTTAATTCAAAAATTTTCTCAACATTGTATTTCGTGAAAAGATCTAAGTCCTTGTTGACGTTATTTAGCAGTCCAAAAACTCTCTGATATTGAATGTTGTCAATAGACTTCATTTCTTCCAACGATTTCTCCACATCACCTTTTCTTGATATTCCATTCAGAGCAACACCCGCAATCTGAAATAGTAGAGTGTTAGAAACAGGGTAGCTAATGATATACAGACCTCTTTTTTATAATTGTTATCTTGGAAATGAAAATTTTTACTACAAGTTTGGTGAGATCTGATGAAGATTGTTTATTTGGGAGTACATTCAAATTTTTGTTTCACTTTGTATCAGTGGCCATTTTTGAGATATCTGCAGAAAAATAAAATTGTCAGATTTTGCTTTTTGGCTACATCGTCTCCTTCGAAATTATTATAAAAATGGAACAAACACACTCTTTGTGCTGTTTTTTTTGTTATGATCTATGAAAACTGACTTTCTGAAGGACTATCGTACAGTGGATTCTATTTCCAACATTATTTTTCGATACGGACAACCAATTTTTCATCAACTTCAGTAGTTACTATTAGTCATTCTGCCATAATATATGTTTCATCATCATTTTAATGATATTAATGAATGATTGTCTTTTGACTGATAACTTCTCCATCGATTCCATTGGAAATTGAGGATTTTTTGAGTATCAATGGTGTTAGTGAAGTAATCGAAGACTACATGCAACTAACAAAAGTCTTCATGGAAGAGGATTGCTATTAGTTAAACAACTTTTTTAAATGAATACAACTGTTTCTGAAGACAGCACGAAGACATGGCAATGGAAAACCCACTGTTCTCCTTACTAGCTAATCTCTTCATGAGCAGATTCGAATTGGAAGCAAAAATGTTAGATTAGTTTTCGCGGACTTGGATCCAATTTGCGATTTTTGATACAAAGAAAAATGACTTTCTTTCAACTCTTAACAATAGACCCTCGAATATTAAGTTTACATATGAAATTGAAAACAACAAGAAATAATCTTTCTCTTTTTTTTCCAATATAATCCAAGTTATATATATTTGTATAAAAATAAAAACAACAATAAGAATTAATTGGCGCTTCGGGGCGACTTCATTGATTCCTGCAGCTTTTTCAGCTGCAGGAAAA